TTTTTTTTTTTTTTTTTTTTTTTTTTGCAAAATTCGATTGCCTGTGAAAAGGCCATCGGCGGCTGGTCTCCCTGCTGCTGAAGGCCGACCTTCACTGGTAAAAGCACACGCTTCTTCTTCATGATGGCTTGCAGCTCTTGCCATATCAGGCATGCATTCAAGCAGTCAATGCAAGATGCAACGGGAGCGCATATCCAGGCACGAGCAGATGCCATGGCCCGCGATAGTCAGCGGCGTTTGCCGGTGGAGGTTGCCCAAAGCCAGCCTGTCGTGGACGCTGCGGCTGCATAGTCCAGAAGTGCCCAAGCGGAGTTTTGCCGTTGGTCATGCCAACTTCGCTGTAATTACAGATTTGCATCAGTTTACATGTTTGCCCTAAGAGAACAGGTGAATACGGACTTAAGACTTGGTATTCCTTAGCTTGTGAGTTGGTGACAGTGCAGGTCTCGGCCTTCCTTTCTTACCCGTTGACAGGGAGCTTCTGTTTCTTTCTTGAAGGCTTTGTTCCTGATCCAAACTGTAAGAATGCAATGTGAGAGTCGCGTTACTAAATCTTTCTTCCGCTGAGGCCATCTACCATCCAGTAACTCTCTCCACAACCTTATAGCCCGTGTTCAGGCTTTCTAGGGCAGACGTTGTTCGGCACAGGAGCTTCTTCGAGCGAGATGGCAAGACAGCTCTCTTTGAGGGAGGTCTGCAATCAAATTCTGCCTCGGAGCATGCCTGAAGGCTGTCCAACCAGCAGAGATCTGACGCAGCAGGGGACCTGCGCAAGGGTATTGAGGTTGAAAAAGCTTGACGATGTGCTGCACGTGCGAACACACTCTGCGCAAATATCAACATGATGGATTGACAGACTTCTGCCGCGCCCAGCGACACAAAGGCCGACCGTGCACCGACACTCAGGCCGCAAGATGGATGATGTCGCACGCACCTTGTAATGCTATGCATGACGTCGTGTAGCGAAGTAGCTCTAGAAAGGAACGCGCGCCCCCCCACATGAGTCGGAGCCAAGGAAGGAAGTCATCGATGCGCAGGCGCTGCAGGAAACGGCTGCCTGCGATCTCAGATAGTCTACGTCTACCTGTACAATCTACAAGCAAGGGCCGCTTGCACAGACTAAGTAAGCCCAAGGCCAGAACTGTACGCGGAGCACAGCAGCTCTTTGGCAACCTCACCGGTTGGGTCAGGGAGGTGAGGAACACAGCACAGGAGCTACAGTAATCTGCAGCAGCTGCCTGGGCTCAAATTCTCGAAGACTGCAGGCGCAAACGGCGGTCGCTGATTCTTTTGCTGGGCTTGCAGAGGAGGGTGTAGGCCTGCTGAAGAGAACATGTCCGGGATTCGCCCCAAACGTGAATCGTCCTTGCACATTTGGCTTCCATAAGGGCCCTTAACTGCTGTGCGCCGCCGAGCAGCTGAGCGGAACGCAGAGGCCCAGACTTCACATGTTAAACGTCTGCAGGGTGCAAAAGATTTCAAAAGCAGTCACCGGTGTGATGTCTGACGAAGACCATCACACATGAGCAGCGCAGTTGCCTCGATCAATCTGAATAGTCATTTTCGGGGAATCCTTATCTTCAAGCAGTCTCCGTGAGGCGGGCGCCAATATTTCGCCACGAGCCTCCAAACGACACTTGGCGCTTTGTTGCTCTTTAGTTGGGAAAGTTTCGAGGCAACAGGAAACTTTGTGAAGTCGCTGGCAGGAAGGGAAGCTTCACGAAGCGATGCCGCACAGTATTTCGTGCTGGGCTCGGATGCAGAAGCTTGGAGTTGAGGAATCGAGCTGACTGAAGGTGGAGTACAAGGGTCTGGACCTGTCTCTGCTTCCTCCAGAGTTGACAGGGCCTGCTCGAACATAATGACACAAGCCTGGACCTGTGGTTTCACCGGATCAGCTCGCGTAGGGAAATACCCGCGACCAAGTCGAGTCGACAAGTCACTTACCCAGCGGGTCAAGAGCTCTGACACTTTGCATGTTGAAGCTTGTTTCATCTCGGACAGCTTAGTGTCTCCATCAACTTGTCACGCTGGCAATGGTTTCAAGGGAGCAGAAGGCAACTTGGGCTGCTGAGCAGATGACCCTGGCCAAAATGCGGATTGAGGATGACTGCTTGGACTGGAGCTGTGGGAAGAACGGCGGCTTTCCTGGTCTTTCTCGTGTTGGCGGCGTAGACGTCTCATTCTTTGCGGATGGTACTTATGCCATCGCGGCAGTGGTCGTGCCCCTGCTCGAGTGTACTGTGCTCATTCTTGTTTTGTTTGTGGTTGGTATGCAAGGAACGCGTCGCAAGATCCAAGCAACCCAATACAGGTAGTTGGGGCCCATGTTGTCCGTGTGTAGGCAGCTCAGTGTAAACCGTAAACTTTCAAAACCGTGCGTATTCAGCTGTTTGTTTGGGCGCATGCCTTCTGATAGCGCCAAACGCCGAATCAAGGTGAGGATTCATGAGTGTGCGTGAGATGTATGCGATGTGGTGACAACATGTGTGCTGCCCGGTGCTCGTAAGCTTTTATTTTGTTTCGCGCAAGTCCGTGATCTTGTCTGTCTGAACGAGCCCCATTGGGCTCCCAGTTTTGTGTGGGTAGCTTTTGGACGGTTCTTGGAATAACTTATATCTCAAATTATACATCTACATCATGCAAAGCCAAATTTGAGCATCCTCAAGATCCAACGACGCTGTTCCAAAGCCTAGAAATTATTCTATGCAGGCACCTTCGTGGAGAAACCGTATAGATGACTGATCAGAGACGTTGAAGGTAGGAGAGCACCCCATGAGGGGTTTGGGCACTTGGCGTCAGGACCCCAAAGAAAGGTGGGGGGAGGAAAACACGCCAAAAACAGAAACAAGCCTTTTTCCTGCTCAGCCGCCCGTGTCTCTATGCTATGGTCCAGCATGAATGGGTGTTGTCTTAAATCACAGGTTGCTTTTGCACCGCTCGGCTACGCGATTCTTCAAAAGGGGAGTTTATTGAGGCAGATGCACGTAAAGCAATGAGCTGTGCAGGGAAAAATCCTCTAAAAAGGTTGCTTCAACAGTGAACTACGACGCCGAGGCGGGACTTGAAGAGCCTCCAGCTCAAGCTGCCAACCCCACCGCCAGTCAGGCTCTCCCCGGTACGACGAGATGGAGACGAGACGGAAAGCCGCAGGAAAAGTCATATCAGACGGGAAGCAGTTTCACGCCAGCGCATCCGATACTGCGGTAGCGGCAACGCGGTCAAATCAAAGGCGTTGCATTATGTTTGCATCTATTTCTCACCACCTTCTATCCTTCCTCACGGTTTTCGAAAAAAATCCTAGGTGGTCGGGTACAATGCTGTACGAACTTGCTTGTCGGTCAGCCCGGTGTCTCATGACAATGCATTGCTTTTCAGAGGTGCTCAGCTTCCCCAGCCTCAATGTGCTCTACGAGCGCAGTGCAGCCTTCCGGCTATCTGTGCCGTACGTCCCAGGCTTCCTTGCCATGCGTGAGGTGCCTGCGCTGAGCAAAATGTTCCAAGATGTGCCAGCGCACGTGATGCCACAAGTGGTCCTGGTCGATGGGAACGGGGCCTTCCATCCACGCGGCTGCGGTGCTGCGACTCACCTGGGCATTTCGATCGACCTGCCAACAATTGGAGTTGCCAAGGACGTGCAGCAAGTGGGCGACGTGAACTCATCCACAGCAAGGCGCTTAGCAAAAACCCTGCATCAATCGGGAGACTGGGGTCCCCTTTGCACAGTCGCAGCCCTGCTCCGAACAAAAGGCAGCCGATGTCTCGTGGTCAGCCCTGGGCACCGTGTTTGCTTGCGCACCGCGGTGACATTGACGTCCCAACTTTGCCAAAAGGCATTGCCAGAGCCTATCCGACAGGCAGATTTGCGGAGCCGACAGGCAGTGCGCTCATGGTATGCGGGTGTTGAATTTGATTATCTGGTGGCCCCTAGGCTCAGCCACTTGGAACACATGCTGCAGATCACAGCCAAGAATTCCCAGAGTGATGACAGTCCGGTTGTAAACGTGCAGAGCCGAAGAGGAAGGCAAGTTGCAAAGTGGGTCATCAAAGAGAAGAGCAAGACCGAAGTGCCGTGCGAAGAAAGTTGTTCCCTCAGGCATTCTGAACTGGAGACTTCTGAGAGTACCTGGACCAGCCTGCTTTTTGGTTGGATTTGTGTTTGTTTTACCAGGTGAAAGTTGTCCTGAACGTTTAGTCTCGCTTGCATCTGACTAGCAGCTAGGCCTGGCTGCCTGCATTGTACAGGGCGTAACGTTGAACACCTGTTAGACCTGAAAGTTATCTAATGGCACTTACGTTGTACAGCGGACCGTGGCTGCCCTGGCAAAAAGACATGGTGTGTGCACGTGCACGTTCGTGGCTGCGGTGCGAGTGTGCTGTGTTTTGCTGACTGTCTTGTTTTGGTAGCGTTTCCCATGCGGGGCAAGGGTAAACACGACTCTTCTGCGGGTCCCCGCTTCACATATAAGCGGAGTTCGTTCACTGCCCTTTCTTTCATGCGCTAGTGCATTCCAATAAATGCAGCTAGCGCTTCCACGGCGCCACGAACTCCGAAATGTTGCTCTGAAGAATGTGAGGTTGTGGAGATTGCTCACAAGCGGCCCAGGAACAGCAGGAGGCAAGGTATGGCAAGGTATACAAAGGTTCTTCTTAGCTTGGCGCCACATTCTGGCCTGCGGAGCATTGTCAAAAGCATCCACCGCACGACTAAGTTTGGTGGACTCCATTTGTGCAGAAAACCGAAAATCAGACAAACGTGCGCTGTCGATCATTCGGACCATTCGGAAGTAATTGTACCCACACATCTGGCGGGCTTGAATTCAGCAGCAACTTTTTGGTGCTCAGCTTGAGCAACATCAAGTCCAGGCAAAGACATAATTGGCAAAGCGTTTGGTATATCGCGAGGCATGCATAACTTAGCAGGGAAGGTATATTATAGGCTTCGACTAGTTGGAGAAGAAGATACTATGGCAGAAGGTTTGTGGGAGATGTATGGTTGCGCCGCGGCACACCCTTTGCCCCAATCCCGAATCCCGCGCTGGTCTTGCTGATGGCGAAGGCAATCTTACAGGTGAATCCAAGCCTGACAAGAGGTAGTTGCAGCTGCCACGGTGTTGATTTAGCACGTTGCTTTCGGAAGAATCCATTGACAGAATTTTATTTGGGTCTCTGACGCTGACAGCTGACACAAACGGGCAGAGTTGTGTGCGCAGGCACTGCTTCAGATTCGCATGTAGCATGTCCGTAGCACTTGGCTCGGGTTTTCTGAAGTCTGGCATCCCCGAAGGGGTTCCAGAATCTGAGCTGCAGGATTTTCTGTCTCTCTGTCTCTAAAGACCATTCTGCACCAGCAGGCATTGCGGATGCATGCGCCAGACGCAGTCTTCCTGCACCAGATGAAGCAGCATGTGGCCGCCGTTGAGGAGTGTCCAAGATCTTGTGTGTTGTGCCCTGGTGCTTTTGTCAGCAGAGGCTAATAAGGAGCCTATACTATGCCTCAGGAATGTCCTTCGCCGCGGCAACTCAACCCCCGTCAGTCTGCACAGATGTTGAGCAACCTCGCCAAGAAAGGGATGGGCCAGCCAGCGCAGCTTGTTTCAATCGGGCACATTCCCGAGACAGGTCTTTTAGCAGTGTCCATGAACGCACTTGCAACTCCATTTTAATGAAGGGAATCGACAGCAGAACTCGGAATAGCTGCGTACCAAATACGCCGAGACATGTTGCTACTTTGGCTTGCGCGTGTCAAATTCCACTTCCACCATCACAGGTTGTCATTCCTGGCTTCTTGGAGGCATTGCTTGGTGGCGTCGTAGTGACGTTTGAGCATGGACGATTCTTTCTGCAGTGGCACATCGAAGAAAAGTGCCTGGCACGTCTGAGTTCAACTAAGGACTCGCTTATTGCAAACATGTGCGAAGTCAATGCGTGGCCTGATCAGCTGAGCTTAAGGTTGAGCCCGGTCATGAGTGGGTGAGAGACCAATCGCCAATCACCTGGGCATCTGCTCAGGTTTCATTACGGCATTTGCATTAGTGCTTGTGCCAAAAACGGATTTTGGCAATGTGCACTTGCGCTACTCACTGGAATGACAAGCAACCGAGCTGAATTTGCATGATGTCCAGCTTCGCAGAAACCGGTCGAGCAGTAGGCAAGGCTCAATTGTGGTTGATTCAGGCCTGCTGGTGGAAAGAAATGCAGTGCATTTCAATGCATGCATGAACGTGTACGCAAAGTCAGCCCGGTGGGAGATGGCCGTTGCCGTTCTTGACCAAGTGGGCGCAAGTGAGGCAAACGACTGCATGCATTCACTGTCAACTTGGGTGGAGAGTCCATGAAGCACGCACATGTCTTGCGTTTGGCCCTGCAGCCGCATGTCTAGTGCTCAGCTGTGGTTGGAGATGTTGACAGCAGTAGAGACTTTGAGGCACCTGGCCCCAGGTGCTTTTCTTTTTTGCGCCTAATTGTTGTTGTTAGTCGAAAATGAGACTGCAGCCATCCGTGCTACTTATAAGTAGCCATAAGTACGACGGTCAAAGATCAAGACAAATAAGGCAAGTTGCAACGTGTGCCTGATGTGACTTTGCAGGTCGAGATGACCACCATCCTTTTCAATTCCTGCGTGACTGCTTGCGACAAGGGTGGTCAGTGGCAATACGCGTTAGAAGTCATGGAAGCCATGCATGCCGCGAACGTGGAACGCGAGCTCATCACCTACAACTCCTGCTTGAGCGCCTGCGGCAAGGCACACGCTTCCTCTGCCCGCGGTACAGTAGATCATTCAACATGTTCCAGAGAGAGCAGAAAAATTGACAGTCTGTAGAGAGCCGTCTTAACAGACTAGAGAACAGGCACAGAAAGTTTGATAGATGATGGGGCAGCGGCAGGCTTCGGAATGGCAGCTTGCCATTGCCCTTCTTGCCTCAATGGCTGAGGCTGGCCTGCTTGCATTTAATTGTCAGGGATTTCCAAATGCTCCCAGCGCAGGAGCTGGTTGAAAAAGACACCATTAGCTACAACGTTTGCATCAATGCTTGTGAAAGCTCTGGACGGTGGCAAGCTGCCCTTCACCTCCTGCAAAGCATGACATCGCGAGCCGTGGCTGCAGCGACAGACTCAACCAAGGTCTCAAGCCAACATCTTTGGTCTGAAGTACCTCATGGAATGAAAGACACGATTCCAGCGAACTGCCAAATGTAACAGAGGTTCAGAAGATTTCAGAAAGATCTGAAACCCACAGCCTACCTTCCACGCCAGAGGCACCATTCCAGCTGGCACACGCACGCTGAATGGTTGCATTGCGGCCTGCGCAGGATGAGCCCTCGCTGCAAAGCTTTCGAGTTCTCATCATTTGGATTTTGCAGTGCCAGCAACACAGAGCTGCTGATGCATGCTTACGCTAGTTGTGCGTCGCGATTCACCTTGATGTCGCACTTTCTTTTGTCAGTCAGGCCCCTGTAGTGTGTGACATTACATTCTTGGGCCGTCATGGTCTGTGTCGCGCGGAGGGCACATGCACAGCGAAAGCACCGCCCGCTCCCAAGCAATTTCAGGCGCGCTTTGGCAAATGGCATGTTCGCTCATGGCAGACATGCTGATTGACAGGAGTCTCGGTGCCGAAAGATTCCTGTGCAAACTGTTGACGCAAAATTATGCTGAGCTTTGAAGGCGTTAACTATGGTGTGAGGTTGGAATACTCTGCTGTGACTTACATGGCCGCCACTGCGGCCTGTGGTCGAATCTTGACGTAAATTAGTTTCCTGGTCCAGTGGGTTCGAATGCCGGCCTTCCCTAGTTGGGCAATGCGGCATGCCGTAAGCAGACCTCAAGTAGGTGCTGCTTCTTGGGGCTTCAAGAAGCAACAAGTCCATCAGCCACTAGGTCACTAGTAAGTAATCGAGTACCGGGATGGGATGCCTTTGTGCTGAAGAGACCGATTTTCGGACTTGAATGATAACTATAATTTGGACGCCACTCTCCCGAAAGCAAAAAGATGCCTAAGGTGATTGGCAGCGCACCTTCAGCCTTTTGTCAGACATGACCTCTCGCAGTTTAGCCGCTGCTTGTCATGCTGTTAGAAGGAACCTGCCGCTCATCGCAAGGGTTGAGCAGTGTTGCAAGGATGTACTTACCTACAATTCCTGCATTGCCCGTTTGGGTGACAACTGGCCAGCTGCTTGCTTACTTCTTGACAGCTCCTTGGCCTTGGTATTCTGCAAATTATTGTGCATGTTGGTGGGTTGAAGCGGGTATATTCAATAAGGCATGGAGGCGCAGAAGATCCTGCCCGATGAAGATACATTCGCCAGGCTTATTCACGCCTGTGGCGAGGGGCATCGGTGGCAGGAAGCTTTGGCGATTTGGGATACGACCCCGCCCAAGGCCGTCATGTTTTCAGTTTGTACCATGCATGCAGGAGATGATTGTTGTGCATATTCAGCAAAACCTTCCATATGTTTCTGGAATGTTTCGCAGTTGCAAACGTCACCTCTGAACTAACTAGACATCCCAAAAACCTGTGAGGTGCTGAGTTCCGACATTGTGGTTGAGGCTGTCATCAGCGCTTGTGCGAGCGGCAACTCCTGGCAAGCGGCCTGCAAGATTTTGCAGGACATGCCTGTGGAAATGGGACAGAACACCACTGCCCGCCCTCCGGCAAAAATGCTGCACAGGCATGATATTTAAGCTTTGCTGGCAGAACGGGTCCTTGTCAATGCAAAGCAGAGCAGACTGTGCAAGAGCTGCCGGTACATGACTTACCCACTAAAAGTTGGGTCGCTCCATACAAAAAAGATAGCCCATGTCGTTCCACAAGCATCTAACAGACATCCCCGAAGCTTCCCAACGGCTGGCTTCCCAATGCCCAAAAGGATTCAGCTGAACTAGCTTTAGCCTCTTGCGATGCAAAGCGTCGGTAGTTGTTAAACGTGGGCTTTCCCACAACAGGGGGAGAGGGCATAAGAAAATGTCCGTGTTTGGGCGAACGGCGCAACAATGCACGCATAGTTCAGGCTGTCGGACTTCATACTGCGTCGTGAGGTACAAACTCTTGCCTCGAAGCTCTGGGGGGCTGCCAGCAGTGGACACTGGCTTTGGCATTGATTGAACAGGCTTGCTGTATTGATCGGCAAGATCTGTGAGGCAAAGATCACATGAGATGCTGCTGTGGTCTCTG